GCCTTGTTGTTGCCTCGACCCACATTCATTCCACCAGCCCAGTTGGCTAGGTCCCTTCCCACAACCCGTGCCTCAATCAACCAACCAACCCACGGGGCTGGGCTTAGTCTTCGTGCGCACAAACCTGTAGGCCAGCACTTTGTTGGGCCTGACCCGTACCCCTCATTTGGCCCAAACCAGAAACCGAGTTGCGGCTGAGGTTTCTCTCGCACCCGTATGCTTCTGGGCCTGCCCATGTGCTATGGTCTTAGCCCAATCTTGCCAGCAGCTTGCTGTTGGGCTTCTGTCATTCGGCTCGTGGCCTAAAGCCACTCATTAGGCTGTTATTACAGCCATACCCGTGCCCTTTGCTCATGGCACCAGCCCAATTTGTAGGCTATGATATTTTTGACCCAACGCTATTATTTTAGCAATAATGTTCTTCCACGGTCAACCCCGTTTGGTCCCAATCTATTGAATTAATTAAAAGTAACCTGCAGTCCATTAATCTGATAATAAATCCAAAAATATTGACCTGAAGATCACTTTTGGACATTAACGATTCAATAATTTATTTTTATACTTTGAACAATTGACTCACTTTCGTAGTCCCGAAGCGCTCACACTTGAGTTCCTGAAGCAACTCAAATCCACTACACTTAAATCAGCATATTGCATTATGTGTTCTTGGAGGAACCTCTCTTTTATAAACTAAACGTTCATAAACTAAATTGAACCTGTAGTTTCAAATTTAGTGCCTTTGAAACCCAAAATTTTCATAAAACAATGCACCCATGAAAACCCTACGTTTTTCATGAAAACCATGTCTTAGAACTCGAATGTTCTAAATTTGATGCTTATGGATGATTCATTCCCATAACACTAATCACAATCTTGTTCCGTCTAAATTCAATAGATTGTCGAACCGTCACAAGTTCAATTCTCTTATTTGGACGTTTCTAATAAAAACCACTTTATGTGGGGTACAAGACATTACCTGAAGCATACCATGATTACGTCCATGAATGAGTACAATTCTGAAGTTTATAAATCCTTCCATATTTTTAACTTGCCCCCTGAAGCAACACTATAGAAAGCAGAAGTTTATCAAAATTCTCTTATCTGATTACTACCATAAACGTGAGAGAAAGGTATAGACCCAGTTCCGTCAGAGCCTACCGAATGGTGATGCCCTACTTCAGTAGGGATGCATCGAAGGGCATGCTCTGCTTCGGCAAAGGTGCACCGAACGGTACTTCTCTACTTATACAGAAACTTACCGAACAGACCCATCCAGCTTCGGCTAGAGCCTACCAAACCCAATTCGGGTATGACCCTCTCACAATCCACTTTCGAGTTATTTTTACAAGATATGGTAGAATCAGGGCCTGCCAAGGTGTGGCATCACGCCCGAAGCATGATCCTTGGCACCTAAGACCTAAAATTTCAAGAATAAGGGAAAATATTCCTGAACCTTAACCCTACAGAATCTACTTCCGTCTCGATGGAATAGATAATTGGTTATGCACCTGTTTGTGCCCCTACCAATGTCGTTAAAGAGTACCATTCTTATAGCCAATCTGTGAGACTAATTTTGCTCCACCAAACGTCATTGAAGAATAGAATTTTGACATGAATGGTCTTGTTGGCCAAATCCCTTTAGTAAACCATTTACTTTATGAACATTTTTCCATGTTCCTGGATTCAAGTTTGGTGTATGTTTTACTTATGGATAATCTTATTGATATTGCCCTCGAATACGAGTTAATTGAATCCCTTTTATAGAATAAGGGCTCGCTCCTCAGTACATAAATAATGGGCTAAGTACCCCAAGTATTTTTTATGAGGCCCAACATATGGTACATAGTGTAGTCCCCCAAGTCTTCGGTCAATAGAGCCTGTTGGTTGGAGACTTTAAATTGAATCCATGTATGGGTCGAAATGGCGGTTGTTCGGAGGCGGTATTTGTATACCCTGCACTGAAGCTTTGTAGGTGAAGCTTTGCAAGTGAAGCTTTGAAGCTGGTGCTTTTGTAAATGAAGCTTTTGAAGCTGGAGCTCTATAAATGAAGCTTTTGAAGCTAGAGCTTTTTGTAAATGAAGCTTTTGAAGCTATAGCTCTGTAAATGAAGCTTTTGAAGCTAGAGCTCTATAAATGACGCTTTCGAAGCTAATTAACATGAGTGATGCTCATGAATGTTTATGTTGATTGACATGAGTGATGCTCATGGATGTTGACATGAGTAATGCTCATGAATGTTTATGTATGATTGTCATAAGTAATGCTCATGTATAATTTGAAGTACTGGGCGTACTTTTGATCACCTGGTTGGTGATAATAGCGGCAGGTTGTTGAATAATTTTGGAGTACTTGGCGTACTTTTGATCACCTGGTTGGTGGAAATAGTGGCAGGTTGCCGAATAATTGTGGAGTATTGGGCGTACTTTTGATCACCTGGTTAGTGGTAATAGTGGCAGGTTGCCGAATAATTGTGGAGTACTAGGCGTACTTTTGATCGCCTGGTTGGAGCTATTTTGAGCTTATAAGCCTTCGCCCTCCACAACATGCCAGCCCATTTATTTTGGGCTTTGTCATTTTTTTATTTATTATTATTATTATTATTATTACCCTCTGATGGGGTTTATACAGATGTCTCCGAAAGATAGAAAAAATAAATTACATCATACAAAAAATAAATCCGACTCTCTGCTTAATGGGTCACGCCCATAATTCTCTTTTCTACATGCCATCACCACCGCAATTATGTTTGCTTTTTTATCTTCTTTTGCTTTATGCTTTTCTTTAAAATGATAGCTGTTTTGGACAGCCTTTCCGACATCACCCATTTGCTTTTCTCTGGCTTTCAAAAAATAGGAACATGCATCCTTTGGTGGTCGATAAAAGCAAAAGTATAATCCTTTCCTTTCTCTTTTAGCTTTTGCTTTTGTTTATGTTTCTCACTTGATTGCTTTTGCCTTTTCTCTGCATCTTTGTTTCTTTTTTTTTGTTTCCCATGTGCTCTCGCAGAGTAAAGTCTCATAAATGCAAAATCTCTCCCTTTACATGGTGCTTTGCCAGTGCCGGAAAGTTTGAACCATGTATGCATCATTCGTGAGGTAGGGCTTTCTACTTTGTGGCGAGGACTGGGCCTGAAAATGATGCCGAATCGGTCCAAATCGTAGCGGGCGGCTCTGATGTGCATCATTTTGAAGGCGCAGCAGCTGAGGCACACCAACTTACTTATCTGTCACTCCCGAGCACTTACTTAAGCTCAGCTCGGTCAATGAGGCACACCAACTTCTGATGGCTTTTGTCGCAGAACAGGTGACCAAACAACCATCTAGTCTAATCGATTTCAACCTCGAATAATTAAGTAGGAATTTTCCCAAGTCAATGGTGACTACAGGACCATATGCTAAGACAAGCTGCTTCAGGTGTTTAGCACCATTTTTCAGAGAAGACAAACCCACATGACTAATATTATGAGCCTCAAATTCCATGGCTTCTAAAGTAGGCTTGAATTGGGTTTCTGTAGATTTGAGACAGGCCCTGCAGTGATTGAGACTCCGATCTCACGGTGACTGAGACTCTGATCGACGCGAGAGGACTCGACGTGGTTATAGCGATCTGATTCGGGGTCTGGGTCGGAAGCCCGTTTGGCGGATGCGGGTCGGCGGTAGCGGCTGTGGTTGTTGGCAGTGGCGTTCTTAGTCCCCCGTTTCAAGAATATGAATGGGAAGTTGTGCAGCGGTGGCTTTACTGGCACTGTCGCCATTATTCCTTAAAATCACCAGAGACAAGATCAGATACACGTCCTTCTTTTGCAAGAACTGAACCGAGAATGCCTGCGCCCACAAGGATGGTGAGCTTACCGAGAGGGAGAGCAGCCATCGACTCTGATTATATTTAGGTATCGTCTCACGGAGACTAAATTGCAGAGTGACAAGGCATTGAAGCTCCTCCTCCTTTCGATATCACAAACTGGTCAATTGTTTGACAAGAAATCAAAAATTTTCTCTCTTTCCGAATTCCGGGTGTTTCTCTCTCTTCCACTCTCTTTCTCTCTCCTCCGCTCTCTCTTTCTCTCTCTCTTTCTCTCTCTAGAGCAAAGAGAAAGTGGTGACTGTTTGTGAGAAGAGACAGGAGTCACAGAAGGCGTCGAATTTGGAGCCATTGCTATTGTCTCTCTCTCCTCCTCTTCTTTGTTCTTTCTTGTTGTCGTTGGGTTTTCTGAACACGAACCCAAAACCCAAAAAGCAATGACCTTTATCTTCCCTGTGGGCTTGTGAGGAGTCTTTGAGATTTGGATCTTTTCTGTTTCTGGGTTTTTTGTGATTTTGCAGATTCACGGTGGAGATTAAAAAATGAAAGAGAACCGACACAACTTTTCGTATCGATTCCCACAGATGGCGCCAAATGTTGATACACAAAACTGGAGGTCTTGGAACAACGTAAATCCGATCGTGAATCTGCAAACAATGCCTATGAATCCAATTTTAGTCATTGAGCCGTTTGATTGTTGGGGTATTGATTTTATGGGTCTGTTTCCTGTTTCTTTCATATATCTATAAATTTTAGTAGGTGTTGACTATGTTTCAAAATGGGTCGAGGTCGTTCCATGTCAGAAAAATGATCACACAACTGTTTTGCGTTTTTTAAAAGAAAACATTTTTTCTCGATTTGGAACACCTCGAGCTATTATCAGTAATGGGGGTAAACACTTTTGTAATAAACCATTTGAAGCTTTGATGAAAAAATATGATATTACTCACAAAGCGGCTACCCCTTATCACCCCTAAACAAGTGGCCAAGTTGAGCTTGCCAATCGGGAGATAAAACAAATTTTAGAAAAAACGGTTAGCCCAAATCGCAAAGATTGGTCTATCCGACTAACCGATGCGTTATGGGCTTATCGTACAGCTTTTAAAACCTGGCTTGGTATGTCTCCCTATAGACTAGTTTATGGGAAACCTTGTCACTTGCCTGTGGAACTGGAACACAAAGCCTACTAGGCTATTAAGATGTTCAATTTTAACTTGGATGCTACTGGTTTGAATAGAAAACTTCAATTGAATGAATTGGCTGAAATTACGAATGAGGCTTATGAAAGTTCTAAAATTTACAAGGAACGAATGAAAGTTTTCCATGATAGAAATATTTTGAGAAAAACTTTTGAGCCTTTGCCTAAAGTACTCTTGTACAATTCGAGGTTGCATTTGTTTCCTGGTAAAATTCGTTCTAGATGGACAGGTCCTTATGTCGTGAAAAGAGTTTTTCCTTTCGGAGCTGTGGAGGTCGAGGATCCAACGAATGGTAATGTATTTAAAGTTAATGGTCAGCAGCTTAAGCCCTTTTTGGAAAGTATTGCCTTGCAGGATGAGACCATTGGTTTGGAGGATCCTGTTTATCAGAACTGATTTCTTTACTCTAGCCCATATTTTCTTTTATTTTTCTGTTTCGTTTGTTTTATTTCTTTTTCAGTTTATTAATGTGTCACCGACCAGTTGCTGGAAGAATTTCAAATCCTTCTTAGACCTTCATGTGTATTCTTTCCTGAGTCTTTTTCTTCATTTAAATTGCGTGTCTTTCTTGCTTCTTATTCTTATGAATATTAACATTGAGGACAATGTCAATTTTAAGTTGGGGGGAGTAGAAGCATATTTTACTTGCTTTTGGTGACATATTGAGTTGTTTTTCATTTTATTTTTTATTTTATGTAATTTTCATCCCTTTTAAAGTTTAAAAATAAAATAAAATAAAGTCCAATAAAAAAAACAAAAAAAGAAATATGCATTTTTCTTACTGTTTTTAAATAGATTTTTGTTAGTTTCTCAACCCAATGATCAGATTGAATTAAATTTCATATTGTAATTAAGGAAATAGTGAGCATGTTTTAAGTGAGATGCTTTATTCTCTTATTAGCTCTCTCCCTTTTCGATTATTCTTGGAAAAGCAATGCACATAGCCATCTTGATGTGAAACTAATGCATGATTTAAATATTAATATGTGAATCTAGTGATCTTATGTAGCCTTGTGAGTTTTTGAGCCTATATGATTGAAACATTATACATCAATCACTTTTTATTCTTGTGCGTATGATCTCACAATCACATGTATCTCTAGAACTTGCTTTAAACCTTTCGAACATATTTCAATGCATGTGATAACTTGAAAATGAAGAAGGCATTTAGGATATCCACCATGGCCAAACAAGCTACTATCCCTGATACATTATCCCTTAGATAACCATTTGAGCCTAAATAAGCATGTTCTTTCATGACCCATGCTCTCCTTACCCATAAAGCTTAAATACTATATCCTACCTCAGTCTATGGAAGTTTGTAGAGCGGAAAGATCTTGAAAGGAAAGGAGTATATGTGTTTCGTATCTAAGCTGGCTCTTGTTTATACTATTTCTCTTAAAAAATAAAAAAATAAAAAAAAAGGAAAACAAAAACAATCTTGCTGAAATGAAGTCTGAGACCCAACACAATGAAATTTGGTCTCTAATAGTGAAAAATGTTCAAGATATTGGTGGAGCCACTGAGGATTCAAGTGACTTTGCAGTCAATTCTTTTCATCATGTGCTCTACTAATTTTCATAGGCTCTTTGTTTTCCCATTCTTTTTTCTTCCTTTTAACCTTAACCACAAGCCCTATTACAACCTTAATAAAGACATTTGATTCAAGTAGTCACATGATATTGATAGTGAGTAGGTGGACAAGCAAGCATATGGCGGCATGTTTTTATGAGATCACTTGAGTGTGACACATTAACGCATAAATATTGAGTGCATGAGTGTAAATCTATGAGAGACTCACTTGTTCTCATATTGAGATTTAAAGAAGCTTAGGATCACATTGTTATGGCTATTTCACACACTACACTCCAAGGATATTTGAGAAATTATTGCTAATACTAGAATATTGTGGATTCGCTTGCTTTATGCTTATTAAGGTTCTTGATTACTATGTACACTTGAATAAAATGCTTTGAGGGTTATGTAGGGGAAACTGATTTTTCCATGTGACTTTTTGTTTTTGGTTTGGTGCTAGAGTATGTTTTCAGTTGCTTGAATTGCTAGAGACTAGCAATAAGCTAGTTGGGGGGTGTGATAATTATTCAAAAGTGCATGACTAATGCACTTTGATTATACTCGTTACATGTTTTTCTCTAGTAATTTATCAAATTTGTGTTTTATCATGTATAACTGGTCAAATAGATTTTATATCTAATTTGTTTTAATTTTTGACTGATGGTATATTAATGTTAATGTGCAAGACTATGAGAATGTTGCAAGGCAATTAAAGGGTGAGGCACAAGACAATAAATTGGTGATTAACTCTATGTCGGTTACCGAAAAGAAATGAAGAAAGGAGAAGGCAAAGAAGAAGAAAAAGAAACAGCCAGCCATTACCATATCAATATGGCATTAAGGCTTATCAATGACCATTATTCAAGAGGTTTATGGGGTTGGCTACGGCAATCTCAATATAACCATTCCCATTTTTATGTTTTTGAGGGGCAGTTTTGTTCTTTCGTAACCTAGAGTTTCTTATTTTTCTATATTGTTACATGGAGAACTTATCTCCCTAGCTAAGGCTAGGAGGAAAACCTTCAACTACTATGTGGTTTTATTAGTTTGATTCGAATTGCGGTATCAACAATAAACTCTTGTTATTGGTTTGTTCAAATTAATATCTAGTTTTTCTCTATTTGACGATTGATGAATGTTTGTTAATATTCATAGGTTCAATCATGTTTTTCCTATGGTTTAGTTTCAGCATTCATGCTTTTGTGAATTAAGATAAATTAGTATATATCTAGTAATTTCGACGGAAGTATTTCTTAATAGCTTGCGCTGGAGGTACAGGTTATGCTTGGAATTCTTCCTATAAGGAATTCTACTGAGTTTATTGGGAACAACCATATTTAGAGTTTGTATAATTTTGTGTGTGTTTTAATACAATTATAATTGCCATATCATCCGATCGGGTGCATTGTATGTTGCATCTTTATTGAGTTATAAAAAGAATCAAATTAATGAAATTACATATGTACGTTGAATGTGGAACTCTAATGTCTTAGTGCTCTTAAATGATTGGATTTTCTTTTTAAAAATTATATCTTATTCAATATTGTTCTTTGTCAGTCTTGATAATTCTGCATTCTTTTTCAACGCTCTTTGAGGAATACGACACTCAGATTTCGAGTTTATACTGCTTCGTGACACCTGCACTTGGGTTTAGCAAACAACATTTTAAGATTCATACAACTTCTCACTTAATAAGCAGAGTGATATTCAATTTATACTTTATTATTATACGTATTAGATGTATCAAGTTTGACTCACATAACGACAGAAATAAAATTGTCGCTAACATTTGTTTGTTGTGAATGGACTAAATCCCCCGTTGTAAAAAAAAGAATATATTAAATTTTTTGTTTTTTCTTGTTGCCAGTAACTTGGCATAATTAGTGGGATATCAAAAGTTAACGGAACGGTAAAATTTCATAAAAAAATTAACGGAACAGAGAAATTTCGCAAGATAATGTTAGAGAGATCAAACTTTTTAAAATAAATTTACAAATTAAATGATGTAGTTGTAGATGATTGGATTATTAAGTGTCGATTAATGTACTTGTTTCTTATTCATGATACATCGTTTGATTTGCAATTTAGTTTAAAAAATTTGATCTCCTTAACATTACCATTTCGTAGTTATCACATATATAAAGGCTGGTTTAGCATTGATATGCTTTTAAAAAAACTGTTTTTCCTGTGCTGTGAGAATGAATATGAAATAAAATAATAAAGTATTTGGTAAACATTTGTAAAAATACTTTTGAAAAAAATAAAAGCAGTATGATAGCGATTGAAATGGTTCACCCACGAAGCTTCCTGGAAGTTGCCATGGCAGTGCCTTCACTAACGCCATATATCCCCCATCTCTTCCTCTATGCTTCCCATCTTTTCCTTTCTTTCTCCTCCTTTTTCACCAATATCTTCTCTCTCTCTCTACAACTTCTTCCCCCATTTGGGTTTTCATCTTCAATCATGAAGTTCATCAATATTAGCTCCAAAAATCTCAGTCCGAAACGCCTCTTCCGATCTAAGAAGGACCGGTACGCCGTGTCCAGCTCCGAGCCGCCATCGTTCGGGTCCGGAACGGATTTTTCCTCGTCTTCTTCTTCTTCCTCAGACTCAATTCACAAGCCCGGGGCCGGCGGTGTCACCACGCCCACCAGCGTTTTGGCCGAAAGATCGGGTGACTGGTCCGAGTTTTCGGCTGATCTGCAGCTGGACATGGCCAAAGCGTTTAAGCTTATAGACCGGGACAACGACGGAGTGGTGTCGAGGAAAGAACTCGAGGCACTTCTGTGCCAGCTCGGGAACAACCCGCCGAGTCAAGAGGAGGTGACGTTGATGCTGAGCGAGGTGGACCGAGACGGCAGCGGTTCGATAACCCTTGAGGCTTTATTGAACCAGGTCGGACCGGTTTCCGGTCCACCTGCCGACTCGGAGCTGCGCGATGCGTTCGAAGTATTTGACACGGATAACGACGGCAAAATATCGGCGGAGGAACTTTTGAGGGTTTTCACGGCTATTGGGGACGAACGGTGCACGTTAGAGGAGTGCCGGCGCATGATAGCCGAGGTGGATAAAAACGGGGATGGGTTCGTGTGCTTTGAGGAGTTTGTTCATATGATGGAGCTGCAGAGATGAAGTTGCTTCTGATGTTTGGCGAGTCATAAAAGTCTTGATTTTCTTTTTCTTTTTTTCTTTTAATTTTGATTGGGATAATGGATGTATAGTTTTTAGGAGTGGAATTTTTTTCCCTTCTTAGACCATCTCCAACCCTTGGGCTAAAAGCTAAATTTTTTAGCCCGAAAAATTTAGCTTTTAGCCCAGAAACATCTTTTCTGCTCCAACCCTTATACCATAAAATTTTAGCCCGAAATTATTAAAGAATGAAATTAGCCTAAATTTTTTTCTTAAATCAATTTTTTTTTAAAAATAAATATGTAGATTATTGTAAATTAATTTTATGAACATTTTAATCTAAAAAAATTTAAATTCCGATAAACATTTCGCATTTAGCCCGGGGGAAAGCTGGGGGGTATTTGGCCCAGAAATAGCATTTGGCATTTAGCCTAAAATTTTAGCATGGGTTGGAGAGTGTTTTGGGGGGTAATTTGGGGGGTAATTTGACTTTTAGCCCAGGATTGGAGATGGTCTTATTACCATCTTCTTTCATTCTTCTCTTATGCTTCTCTTTTTGTCTTATTCTCGTATAAAAAATTTAAATATGACGTAATCACAACTCTTTAAATATGAAAGAATGAAAGGGAGAGAGGTTTGGAATGGAAAGAATCCTACACCTGTTTTTAAGGATGTCTTGAAAAGATTGAGGTAAATTGGTAGTTGTTAGGCATTAAAATCGATGGAGACCGAATTTATACCAGGTCATGTAAGAATAATGGTGCGCAAATTGCGGTGAAGCAAAATCTAAGAACCAAATGATGATTTATAGGGTTATTTATTAACAAAAAAAATAATGAAAAAAACTTGAAAATTTTAAATTTTAACGAAAATGATAAAAAAGTATTGTAAGTAAATAGTATAATTATTGATTTTTTTTAGAGTAAAATGTAATTTTTTGTTAAAATAAATAATATCAGAAACTTTCCGTTAAAGTTCTTTAAAAAAAATTAATGAAGGGATCCAATGAATTTATGAAATTGTTAGAAAATGGAATTTATTTTCTTAAAATCTCCATATAAAATTTTCAAGGAATTAGGTTTTTTAAGCTGAAGTAAATCTGTATGTTTGTTATAAATAGGCAAAAGTTGAGAAATAACATTAGCTAAGAGCGATGACGTAGTGATGCAAAATATCACACTTACAAAAGTATTGCAGATATTTGAAAATGAGGGATACTAAGAGTATTATATTTTTTCCTTTTCTCTTTTTGATGTTCCCTTACATTGAACAACCGAAGTGCTCTATTTATAGAGCCACCTCAACGAAAACTTACAAAACTTACCATTCACATGTGATATTTTACTATACACATTACTATACACATGTGATACTTAACTATACACATGTGGACAATCCACTATTTACAACACTTCCTTTTGGATGCCCACATATCAGTATCAGTTACCTCGTTAAAACCTTGCTTGGAAAAACCCAACGGGAAAAAACCATAGCAAAGGAAAAAGAGTACAACTTTACCTGGATAGTGTTGAGCATGCTTATGTTGCCTCGTTAAAACCTTGATAGGAAAAACCTAGTGGGAAAAATCCTAATCGAAGGAAAAAGAGTACCACATGCATGTATCATGAATGCTCCCCCTGAATTGTATCTCCCCCTGATTTCGCATTCTTCAAATTTGTAAGCCGACATAATCCGATTCCCTGCACTAACTTCTAAAATGTGCACTTTGGTAGAGATTTGGTGAACAAGTCTGGTAAATTTTCATTTGAACGGATTTGTCTAACTTCAATAACTTTACCCTTCTAAAGCTCATGTGCACTGAAAAACCATGGAAATATGTGTTTAGTCTTATCACCTTTGATGAATCCTTCATTCATCTGGGCGACACAGGCTGCATTATCTTCATGGATGACAGTTGGAGTGTCTATCTTTGAAGGTAGACCATATGAATTCCGGATGTGATGGGTCATTGATCTTAACCAAGAACATTCACGACTTGCTTCATGTAAAGCAATTATTTCCGAGTGATTGAAAGATGTAGCAACTAGCGTTTGCTTCGTTGATCGCCATGAAATTGCAGTATCTCCATTAGTGAACACGTATCCATTTTGTGAGCAGGCTTTATGCGAATCAGAGAGAAAACCAGCATCTGCATATCCAACAAGGATCTGATCATTTGTGGGCTTGTCTGAGTAGAAGAAACCCATATCTGTTGTCCCACGAAGGTATCGTAGAACATCTTTGACTCCCTTCCAATGACAAATTGTTAGAGCAGAGCTGTACCTGGCTAACAAGTTAACTGAAAAAGCTATATCTGGTCTACTACATTGTGCTAAATACAATAAAGCACCTATTGCGCTCAAATATGGTACTTCTGGATCAAGGACCAATTCATCATCTTCTTTTGGATGGAATGGATCTTTCTTAATGTCCAAAGAACAAACGACCATTGGGGTGCTAAGTGGATAAGCCTTGTCCATGCCAAATCGCTTCAGTATCTTTTCAATGTAAGCTGATTGATGGACCAAAATTCCATTAGCACAATGCTCGATCTGCAGGCCGAGACAATATTTTGTTTTCCTAAGGTCTTTCATTTCAAATTCACTTTTTCGATATTCAGCAGTTTTATTGAGCTCTTCAAGGGTTCCAACTAGGTTCATATCATCGACGTATACTGCCACTATAGCAAATCCAATATTTGATTTCTTAATGAACACACAAGGGCAGATGACATTGTTGGCATATCCTTCTTTAATCAAATACTCACTAAGACGATTATACCACATTCGCCCAGATTGTTTCAGCCCATATAGTGATCGCCTTAATTTGATTGAGAACATACCTCGTGGTTTGTTAGTGGCTTCAAGCAACTTAAGTCATTCTGGGACTTTCATATATATGTCTGTATTTAATTCTCCATATAGATACGCGGTGATGACATTCATAAGTCGCATCTCAAGTTTTTCTGAAATCACCAAACTTATTAAGTAATGGAACATAATTGCGTCCATTATAGGAGAGTATGTCTCTTCATAATCAATTCCATGTCTTTGTAAAAAATCTTGTGCAACAAGTCGTGCTTTATATCTTGCAATCTCGGTTTTTCTCGTTGCGTTTCCTTGTGAATACTCATTTGTAACCTACGGGGTTCACACCAAGCGGGGCTTGGACTACTGGTCCAAAAACACTTCGTCTTTCCAAGGAATTTAATTCTCCCTAAATTGCATCTTTCCACTTAGGCCAATATTGTCTCTGTCTGCATTCATCAACAGAGCGGGACTCAATATCATCACTTAATATAATTTCAGTGGCTATTGCAAATGTAAACATGTCGTCCATGATTATTGCATTTTGATCCCACAATTCATTAGTACATGCATAATTTATGGATATTTCTTTGCTTTCATGTACTTCTGTCTCTTCAAGGACAGGTGTCTTATCAAGGACATTTTCTTTTTCTAGAAGTACAGAATCATGAACTGTGGATTTATCATTCAATTTCTTTTATTGAATGATATCATTTGGGTTCAACTGTGCCCTCATCTTTCTCTTTCGAGGGGCTGAATCTTTTGAACCTGGGGGTCTACCATGCTTCAGGCGTGCACTAGATGAATCATTCGCTGCCATTTTATTTTGTCCAGTAGGGACATCAATTCTTGCAGGTGCGTTTGCAGCTGGTATATGTGACTTTGTCACTTTCGAAGCATCATTAAATGCATCTAGCATTTGATTAGCAATACCTTGAAGATGAACGATCTTTTTCACTTCATTTTCACATTGAGTGCTTCATGGATCAAAATGAGATAAGTTGGGAACAACCCATGTTAGCTCTTGTCGTTCTTCTGGAACGATCTTTTCTCTCCCTAACGACAAGGAAAACTGTCTCATCAAAATGACAATCAGCAAAACGAGCTGTAAACATATCACCAATCAAAGGTTCGAAATATCTAATGATAGATGGTGAATCAAAACCCACATAAATTCCCAGTCTGCGCTGAGGTCCCATTTTAGTTCATTGTGGTGGTGCAATAGGCACATAAACAGCACAACCAAAAACTCGTAAATATGAAATATTTGGCTGATGTCTAAACATAAGTCGTAATGATGAGTATTGGTGGTTGGCTATGGGTCTCAGTCGAACCAATAATGCTGCATGTAAGATGGCATGTCCCCATATAGAGACTGGCAATTTCGTTTTCATGAGCAAAGTGCGGCTATTAATTGAAGCCGCTTGATAAATGCCTCTGCTAAACCATTTTGGGTATGGACACGAGGAACAGGATGTTCAACATCAATGCCCAGTGCCATGCAGTAATCATCAAAAGTTTGAGACGTAAATTCACCAACGTTATCAAGTCGGATTGGCTTAATGGGATGATCTGGGAACTGTGCTCGCAACTTAATTATATGAGCAAGAAGTCTCACAAAAGCTACATTTCAAGTAGACAATAGGCAAACATGTGACCATCGAGTAGATGCATCAACCAAAACCATAAAATATCGAAATGGTCCACAAGGTGGTTAAATAGGTCCACAAATATCCCCTTGAATTCTTTGCAAAAATGATGGGGATTCATCATCAACCTTTAGTTTTGATGGTCTAATTACCAACTTCCCTTGGGAACAAGCCTTGCAAGGGTTATCATTTGAGACATCAATATGTCTGCTCAATAATGGATGTCCAATAGAGTTGGTAATTATTCTACGCATCATGGTAGATCCTGGATGACCTAGACGGTCAAGCCGAAGCATGTAAACCTTTGAATCAATGAACTTATGGTTCATGACAGTATATGCCTCAACTGTCTTTATGTATGTAAAATATAATCCACTCGATAAACCATGCAACTTCTCCAATATACGCTTCTAGGTATCATTGGAGGTAATGCATAAATATTCCACATTTTATACTCTTTTCGTTTCAATGTGGTATCCATTTAAACGTATGTCTTTAAAACTTAACAAATTTCCAATGGATCGAGTAGCATATAATGCATTCTTTATGGACAATATTGTTCCATTTGGTAACATAATCTGGGTTTTTCCTGAGCCTTCAATTACATCTGATTGTCCTGATATTGTTGTTACCTTTACTTTTGCAAGTACCAAATTCAAGAAATACTTTCAATCTTGAAGTATTGAATGCGTGGTTGCGCTGTTGCAAGACAAAGGTCTCTACCATTACTCTTGTT